GTAACCTGTATCAAACGTAAGGTTGTGCTTACGTTGAATGTAGTACTTTGGCTAGGTTAAGATTGTGTTAATTGATGTTTCTGAGGAAACAATCCATGAAGAGCCAAAAAAGGTGGATAAAGGTTCTTTTGATTTTTTAAATGTTCATCGTGGTTCTTTTAAGAACTGTTCACTGACAGGTTCTTTGGGGAACCAAAATGGCTCTTCTATGGCATTCATGTGAAAGCCCCTTTTTACAATATTTATTTTTAAGAGTGTAAGTGAAAAATCATTGTTAGGGCTATAGGCGTCAGATGCTGAGGCAATGTTGTGCAGTTTGAGGTGAGACATTTGTGTTGTGATATGTATTTATCGTCAGCAGCACCTTCACAAACACCCGAAAGGAAAATCGCTCAGTAACAATAACAAGCGTTGCCGCAGGCACAATTAAAGACTACACGTAAGTCTACTGTCAGAAAGAATTAATGTAAGAACACACACACACGCTCTGTCACACTTGCTTTCTTAATCTTACGCTTAGACTTTCTCTCTCTCTTGTTTTATTTCTCTCTCTTCTTTGAACCTGAACTTCTTCTGACTGGAATACATTCACACATTACTGCAATCCAGTTAGCATATTACTCATGAAATGTGTTTCTCACATCCATATCTGCGTAACTTACATGAGAGTCAGTCATGTTGTTTTTCATTCCCACACTTCTGCAGCTATGCTTAAACTGACTTTATCTTTATACCTCATGCGTCTTAAGTCAGTGTGTGAAAGTTTTTATTATAATGCCATTTGTTCGTTTACATGAGGTTAGTATTTTATTTAATAGGCTATTGGAGTTAGCTTACCATTTTGTATAATACCATAGTGAGGATGGCATTAGTATGAGTTTTTTTTTTTTTGTCTTTTCTTGACCTTTAGATTAAACCTAAGGTTAAGCTTCTCTTTCCTGTCCTTTCAATAACCCTGTAGAAGAACTGTGTGTAATGAAATCAGCTGCAGTTTAACAAGGAAGTGGGAGATGACAGATACAAATCAAAACTGATGCACAGATAAAAGTGATAAAAATATTAAACTGGCATATACAGTACATATCACATCCTCAAGCTCTTGATTCTGGACTGCAGAAAAAGTATATAATATCGCTTTGTCTGTCAAAAAAAAGGGTCTTCCTAGGGTAAAAGACTAATGAAGCTAGGTTGATATTCTGTCTTCCTGCAGGAAGTGTGGTTTAATCCCTACTGTCTCACTTTGGATTACCACAGATGCACATATTTATCTGGCCAGACACATGCAGGTCACACAAACATATGTTACACACAGACACGTCATCCACACAAACACGGGTCACACACAACAGACTATCTATAGAGGGCAGAAGTTTAAATAATTACACAACACTTTTGTACATATTTCATATGTACTGATGAAGGAAGTCTTAAATGCCTGAAGAAAGCTTTCCATTAACCTTCCCATTCATCTTAATGGCAGTTGGCCAGCAATTGCAGGGCCCCTCAGAAGTATGTGACCTGGATGCTGCCATCTTGGCTCCTGGGCACTTAGTTCCTGGTAATATTTGAAAAAAAAAAAAAATTTTTCAAAATATCCAAGGGCCCCTGTGTGTCCTTAAAAAGTCTTAAAATGTCATATGTCAAATGTTTCTATCAAAATTAAGATAAAAAATATCTTAAATGGTACAACAACAAGTCTTAATTATCATTTTAAGAGGGTTAAAATTTGGGGAAGGAAAACAGGAATCATGATACAGGTTAATGTTTTTAATGGAATAAAAGTTAGCAGCTCCTTCAGTCTTTATTTTTAAAAAATCCCTGAAAGTTTAAGTTAGGATAGTTTACTAGAGCAAAAATCTATTGAGATGAGTTTACCTATTTGGTGTGATGACGTTTAATGTCCCAGAATACCATAGCAACCATCTTTTTCAAGACAAGTAAAATCTCTCAAATAAAAATCAGTGGGCTATTACATATCCAAGGGCCCCTGTGTGTCCTTAAAAAGTCTTAAAATGTCATATGTCAAATGTTTCTATCAAAATTAACATAAAAATATCTTAAATGGTACAACAACAAGTCTTAATTATCATTTTAAGAGGGTTAAAATTTGGGGAAGGAAAACAGGAATCATGATACAGGTTAATGTTTTTAATGGAATAAAAGTTAGCAGCTCCTTCAGTCTTTATTTTTAAAAAATCCCTGAAAGTTTAAGTTAGGATAGTTTACTAGAGCAAAAATCTATTGAGATGAGTTTACCTATTTGGTGTGATGACGTTTAATGTCCCTGACAACCTCTGTAGTTGAGCTAGTGTTAACCACAGACCTTATTTCAGGCATTAAACCAAAAAGCCATTCAAAAGACCCATTTACACCAAGACGATGGAACCTTAAATACTAAAATGCAAACTTGTTTCTGAGTTCTGGCCTACAAAAATACATCACCCCTGCAGCACATGATGAGCAGTTGAAAAAGCATTTCAAAATAAGAGTCCCTGTGTATTTTGGGCTTGTTTATAAAACCATGCAACAGTTTTATACATCTTGTTATTGTAGATTTTGGTTACACAAGGAAAGACAAAAACATTACAATGTTCAATATGGTGTGATGACGTTTAATGTCCCCGACAACCTCTGTAGTTGAGCTAGTGTTAACCACAGACCTTATTTCAGGCATTAAACCAAAAAGCCATTCAAAAAACCCATTTACACCAAGACGATGGAACCTTAAATACTAAAATGTGAACTTGTTTCTGAGTTCTGGCCTACAAAAATACATCACCCCTGCAGCACTCGATGAGCAGTTGAAAAAGCATTTCAAAATAAGAGTCCCTGTGTATTTTGGGCTTGTTTATAAAATCATGCAACAGTTTTATACATCTTGTTATTGTAGATATTTTGGTTACACAAGGAAAGACAAAAACATTACAATGTTCAATAGATTCAGTAGTATCAGCACAGTCTATCTATCCACATTTTACTTGACAAAAAAGGTTGTATGTCATGTGTATCTGGTCTTATGAAGTTGGTCTCTTAGTCATGTTCTCTACACAGTGTTTGTGTACATTTACATAATAGTGTCTCCTCTATCCACCACATCTGTTTTGTGAACAATCTCTGGTCATTATAGACTTTTACACCCTCATGTATGTTATCAGAATGATTTGTGGGAAGGCTTCTGGTCTACATGAGTATTTGATTTTCTCTGGGGGAAGGTTTCATGCACTGAAATAAATAAATAGATAAAACCCTAACCAGCATGACATTGGCAAAATTGCTGCTATACTGGGTAGACATAAAATAATTGAAGTTTGTGTTTATCTGAAAATCTGTGTTTGAGTGACAGCTGTGCACTGTGTTTTGTACAATGTGAAAGCTATTTCAACAGACTAAATTGGCCTTTTGAAGAAGGTAAAGTGTTCTCTTACATTTATATTCATTCAAGGCATTTAGCGGATGCTGTTATCCAGGGCAACTTACAAAATTGCTTTAGTATTGCCTACAAGACCATTGTTATCAACAGATGGCATGCATGCAATTTGGAAAGCTTCCTATACCAATACAAAAAAAAAACAGATAAAAGATAGTACATGGAAGAGAGTACTTGGAAGTTCACAATGTTATTTTTGTCATGAGGAGAGAGAGAGGAAGGCGTAGGTGGAGGGTTGAGTAGGGAGTAGAAGGTGCAGAAGAGTTTCCTCGGGGCAGTAGCATCAAGCTTTGCACCATAGCTTTTCGGCAAGATTGGAATATGAGGTAAAGTCATCTGGAGTTCCCTTATGTGCTGTCTCAGTAAACTGTGGAAGCTTGTTTCCGCCATGGGGTGAAAAGATTTAAAAATTTAATTGTGACTTTTTATCTCACAGTTCTGACTTTTTTCTTGCGAAAGAAAGAATTTTAAAAAATTGCAATTACCTTTTTTTTTTTTTTTTTACTTTTTATTCCATGGCAGAAACAAAAAAACATAATTGCGAGATGTAAACTCAGAATTGTGAGAGAAAATGTCAAAATTGTGAGAGAAGGCGTAGGTGGAGGGTTGAGTAGGGAGTAGAAGGTGCAGAAGAGTTTCCTCGGGGCAGTAGCGTCAAGCTTTGCACCATAGCTTTTCGGCAAGATTGGAATATGAGGTAAAGTCATCTGGAGTTCCCTTATGTGCTGTCTCAGTAAACTGTGGAAGCTTGTTTCCGCCATGGGGTGAAAAGATTTAAAAATTTAATTGTGACTTTTTATCTCACAGTTCTGACTTTTTTCTTGCGAAAGAAAGAATTTTAAAAAATTGCAATTACCTTTTTTTTTTTTTTTTTACTTTTTATTCCATGGCAGAAACAAAAAAACATAATTGCGAGATGTAAACTCAGAATTCAGAGAAAAAAATCTAAATTGCGAGATGCTAACTTGCAATTAGGAGTTTATGACTTGCAATGGCAATGTATAAACCCATAATTCTGAGAAGAGATGTCTGAATTGCAAGATGTAAACTTGCATTTTTTATTCCATGGCAAAAAAAAAAAAAAACGGAATTGCAAAATGTTAAATCAAAATTCCAAGAAAAAAAGATGTAAACTCAGAATTCTGAGAAAAAAAACCAGAATTTTATTATGTAAACTTCCTATAATTGAGTGAAAAAGTCAGAATTGTTTGATATAAACTTGTAATTGCAATGTGAATTTAAAAGAGAAAATGTAGAATAGATTACCTTTTTTTGGATTTGGATTTTTTTTTTTATTTTGTGGTGGAAACAAGCTTTTGACCAGGCCTACTTAGAGGAGTCAGAACAGAGAGTCAAAATAAGGGAAAGATGCAACAGTTGATGCTGCTGCTTCAATAATGGATAAGGTGATGGTATAGTTAGGAAATCTGAGAGAAGTGAAGTGCCATTTGCTAACACCTTTGTATGAAGATTTTGGTGTGTGTGAAAAAAGACTAGGCAGAGAAGCACAGGTGTTGAGGTGTTTCCAGTAGTGCAAATATGTGTAATACACGTTTGTGTCTGTGGTCTGCAGGTGTATACAAGGTTTGGGAAATGTTACACGTTTAATGGAAACAAGACGTCACCCAAGCGGGTAAGGCAAGGTGGCACAGGAAACGGACTGGAGCTGATGCTGGATATTCAGCAGGACGAGTATCTGCCCATCTGGAGAGAAACCAGTGAGTGACAAACGCAACTGCTGCCATTTTGCACCTCATTTAACGATTGTAGTGAAAATGACTTTGAAGATTTTCAGTATTAATTTTATTGTTTATTGCAAAGCTGATCTGATGCTGTACAATGTAATTTTTTTATATAGCCTACTACCATTTAAAATTTTGGGGTCATAAGATTTTGAAATCTCTCTTATTCTCACCAAGGCTGCATTCACATATTTGACCAAAAATACACAGTACAAAGAGTAATATTGTGAAATATCATTACAATTATAATAACTGTTTTCTACTTTAATATATTTTAAAATGTTATTTATTTCTGTGGCAAAGCTGAATTGTCAGCAGCCGTTACTCAAAGTCTTCAGTGTCACAAGATCCTTATCAAGAAACATGTCTTATTAATATGCTTAATATGTATATATCTGAAGATTTATATATATATATATCGGACCCTGATACTTTTGAAAGGTAGTGTATACAGGTCAAATTAGAAAATAATTTTAAACCTTAAATCCGTATTTTATGACCACTTATATATTTATTTATTTAGCACACATTTATACAATAATATACAGTTATATATTATTTTTTGCAAAATAAACCCCGACAGAGTGATCAGGACTCCGACATAGAGTGGATTCACATCAATTCACCTTCAAAAGTACAAAGAAATAGAACATCTGTCAGATTTTTTTACCCATTCAATCTGTCCATTTTCAGATGAGACCACACTGGAGGCAGGTATTCGGGTTCAGATTCACAGTCAGAACGAACCCCCGTATATCCACCAGCTGGGCTTTGGGGTCTCTCCAGGATTCCAGACATTTGTTTCCTGTCAGGAACAGAGGGTAGGTTTAACTGCGGTAAAAACCATAAAAACGGCTAAGGCCTGAATTCAAAAGAAAGCTGTTCTAAACTCTTGAATTCCAGACATTTTAAATTAGGAGCTAATAGTCAAAAAGTTTTCAAGGCTGACTGGGATATTTTCTAATTGAGACTGCATGTGCTAAGTATTTCACAGCCATAGGGTGCACTCAGGCAGACAAAGAAGCAGAGACACACAGACCTTTTCTCTAAATGTCTACTGTTTTTCTAGCTAACATACCTGCCACAGCCGTGGGGAAACTGTCGGGCTTCATCTGAGCCTGTGATCCCAGGATACGACACCTACAGCGTCAGCGCTTGCAGACTGCACTGTGAGAGCACACAGGTGCAGAGAGAGTGCAACTGCAGGATGGTGCATATGCCAGGTGCGTGCTGTAGTATGTGAGTGGCAGAGTTGTCATAAAAACGGTCTGTATCAGTAAGAACAAATATGCTGTGTTGGTACTTGTCACGCCACCACACAGCTGATCTGTAAAATTGTTCTTAAAGCTGCTGACAGATTGGCAGCTGCATCTCAACATTCATTGTTTACCTGTCGAGACAGTGGCTTTCTTGAAAACACTTTATGGAGCAGACTTCTGTAAACAATCTACAAGCCCCCTAACTGATGTGATGAATAAATGTTTCACACATCAAATATCTCTCTACAGGCGATGCTGATATCTGCACACCCAGTAAAATCAAGTGTGTTAACAAGGCGTTAGGTAAGATCATCACAGACACATCTTAAACATATAAATAGTAATGATTAATTGATCAGCTCAGTTAATACATTTAAAGGGATAGTTCACCACATATTTAAAATCCTGACATTAATTACTCACCCTCATATCTTCTTCTGTGAAAGATATTTTGAAGAACTGTTTTTTGTTAATGTTAAATTTTTTTTCAGTGAACTAGTCCATTCAGACATAGGCTTTGAACAATATTAATGAGTTTTTATGATAACCATTGATGTAGATGAATTGTGTGAATATGATTTAAGATTAGTATTGATTATTAATTTAAAAAATATTATATTCAAATGTCAAACCACTGTGAAATTTAACTGAAGATATATTAGTAACAGGTTTCAGGATATTGGTTTTAGTTTAACATCTGCTGAAAGTTTTACATAGTCAGAACTATAGGAAAAATAATGATTTTTGACAGATTTCTTTACAGTTTTTCCATCAACAATAAATACTAATACTAAACTTAAACAAAAAAAAAGTAAAAAGTCAATTTAAAGGTAAGAAAAGTGTTTTATTTTTTAACTTTTAAAATGTGGATACTTGAGTAAATTTGTTGACATAGTATCTGTACTTTTTACACCCCTGCTACATAAAGTATCATCAGTAAATAATAGTGATTTTTAAACAGTGATTATTCACAACTGGAGGTTTAAAAACTCCCTATTGTATTCAAAACTACTCAACAACACTGAGAGCTTGATTATTGATGATAACTATAACACCATTCATTGCAGTTCTTGTCCTCAGCAAATATAATTCATCAATATTTCCTGTACACTTCTGCAGCTTTACTCCAGAAGAGCACAGGTGACTCATGCCCCTGCGAGACACCCTGTAATTTGACTCGGTATGGAAAAGAGCTCTCTATGGTTAAAATCCCCAGCAGGGGCTCCGCTCGCTACCTTTCTCGCAAATACCAGAAATCAGAGGAATACATCAGGTAAGTCTAATACATAAACGGCCACACATACACATGGGGTAGTTTTCATTCTGCCGCTGAACATTTTGAACGTTATAGTTTATACCCTCAGACAGACCAGAGAGGAAACAGACCCAGCCATTTTTTCATAGGAAACTAAATATGCTTCTGCAAGGATACCTGCACAGCATTTTTTATTTATTATTATTATTAAATTTTTTTTTTTTTTTTAATAGGACTACAACAGCACACCTCACTGAACTATTCACCATCCTATTTGCTAAGCTGGCCACACATCCAAACATTTATCACCCCATCCATCATCTCATCCTGTCATTTTCTATTACCATGAAGTTATGACCATAGACACATTATATTTAATAGTTATAGTCAATAAATCTGCTATGGCACTACAAAGTCGGTATTTATTTGATCTGTAATTTTTTTTTTTTTTTTTTTGCAAAACCTGCTTCTCTCACAAATTCTATCAGCATTTTCTAATAACTATAGCAGGATTCCTTGTCCAAACTGCAGGCTCGTTTCAGTTATATAATGGGATGAAAAATATAATTGTTGTCTTCCATTCATTGGCTCAATAATAGAAAAAAAAAAACTATTTTAATAGACTGCTCTATAATGACATTCTGTGGTTTCCATTATTTTTTAACCATTTTTGGTGCTAATCCTTTTCTTTCCATAATACAAAAAATAATGGGCTCATTTCTATACTGTTTTCCTGCAGGGAATTAAAACATTTTTATTAAACTTTTCATTGTGCAGAGACAACTTTCTCATCTTGGATATTTTCTTTGAGGCCCTTAATTATGAGACAATTGAACAGAAGAAAGTGTACGACATCGCTGGTCTGTTAGGTAGGTTTCCAATCCTCACACACTATAAACATCTGTACAGCAACTGTTATGGTCATCAGAGGTGCGGCATGTCTGCCTTCTCAAAAAAGTATTAAAGGGACTGTAAGAGCCATTTTGGTCTTTACTTTGAATTGTTATATATGTGTATGTCCAGTAGGGGTCACTCTTGGGTGATTGTTCACAGAATATAGGTGGGAACCTTCCCTCAGTGTTGCTGGAGGGAAGGTGCACACAGTTTTTTGACCGCTACGCTAGGCTGATTGTACCACGCTATGCAAGTCGTTGTAAAGGTGAAGGACTGGTGGATTTATTGACTGTTTGTTTGGATTCTTACCTACATGGAAATGAAGACCAGTAACGGTAAAATAAATCTACAACAATGAGCATTTTAACATCTTGTGTGGACATTACAGTTAATAGTAATTCAAGCGTGCACGTCCATTTACAAGCACCGTCCAGCATCCCTCAGCTGCTTAAACTATTAGACTTGGCCGCTTACAGGGATAGTTCGCCCAGAAATGAAAATTGGGTCACTTTCTTCTGGACAACAAAAGAGATGTTTTTCACAATAATGTCTCAAATTTTACTTCAAATAATGAAAGACAATAGGGTCCAGTGCTGTTAACATTCAGAAAGAAAGTCGTACAGGTGTGGAATGTACAGGCTGCACTTGGAGACAATAGGCCAATTTTTCAATGACGAAGGGACGCAGTGTCTCGTTCCCTCTCAGGGAACCATGGTTACATGCGTAACCCGAGACGTTCCCCTTCTAGGGAACTCGCGCTGCGTCCTCTAGTGGACACTTGGGGAAGGAAATGCCCATGTCCATCTGGTGAGATAGCACCAAGGAAGTTACAGACATACACATAACCTTTCCTCAGAAAGGGGCCAAGCCACTGACGGCCCGGGCCACTCAGAAAGCTTGGCAGAAATTGGGAACCCAGTTTCAGATGAAAGAGGAACATCCACACCAAGTTAAGAACACAGCTACCCTCAGATAGCCATGTTATGTGAGCAACCCCTTAGCATGATAATACAAGGACCACAGACCCTAGTAAGGGGATTAGTCACTGAGCTATCCTCAGATAACTATCCTCTAAAGGTCATAACTGAAGATTGCCAAGACCACAGAGTGTGGGCTATCTACTTCAAATCCTGACAGGGGAGACAGCACAGTCTTGGCAAGGGGCTCAAGGAGACCACTATATAAATAGTATATAAAAAGGGGAGTAGTCACCGAGCTGGAACACAGCTATACTCGAATAGCACTTTCTCTCAGCAAGGCTGAAGATTGCCCAGAGCCCTAGGCGTGGCAAGGGGATGCAGTGTCTCGTTCCCTCTCGGGGCCACATGTGCAACCCGAGACGTTCCCCTTCAAGGGAACTCACACTGTGTCCCCAAGAGGACAATTTGGGGAATGAAAAAACCCACTATGCCACGCTGTGGTGCATGCCTGTCCACTTGAAACCTTAATACAGGGGAGACAGCATGAGAAATTAGGAAAACTGCCTGCTTGAAAAATACCCTGCAATTGGGGGAGGCAGCCTAGCATAATAGAAGGGGACCCAAAGGGGACCGCTGACTTGAAACCCCTAGAAAACAGGGAGGAATCCCAGCCCTCCTACCTAAATATTAGGCAAGAAGCTAAATAACTTGAGCTAGCTGGAAACATAACTGTCCTCAAACAGCTATGTTTCTAAAAGCAATGAGCCATCTACTTGAGACCCTAATACAGGGGAGACAGCTTAAAGCATGGAAAAACAAGGAAACTACCTGCTTGAAAAATACCCTGAAATCAGGGGAGGCAGCCTAGCATAATAGAAGGAACCTAAGGGGGACCACCTACTTAAAAATCCTAGAAAACGGGGAGGAAGCCCAGCCCTGCTGCCTGAAATATTAGGCAGGAAGTTAAAATAACTTGGGAATAAAGGGGAACCCAATCAAACTACACAAAAAGGAGGGACATCTCATCTAGCCAAGCATGGAAACATAACTATCCTCAAACAGCTATGTTTCTAAAAGCAATGGGCTATCTACTGTACTTGAAACCATACAGGGGAGACAGCTCAAAGCATGGAGGGACTACTTGAGAGGGCTTGTGCCTAGAGGAGCCAAACCTAGTCATAGAAGTCAGGCTGGAACACAGCTGCCCTTAGACCGCTATATTACAGAGCAAAGTAAGTTTGAGCTGAAGCACAACTATCCACAGACAGCTACATTCTGAGCATGGGCTGTCCACTTAAAAGCCCTGAGGTGGGGAACAGTCTACTCAGCCCAAACTTAATATGCAGGATTGAGAGGGACCACCCACTTAAAAATACCGTGAGACCTGGGGAGGCAGCCCACTCCTAAACCTATCTAGCTTAACTCAAGAAGGGACATTCCTCAAAATCAAGCTACAAAAACAGCTGTCCTCAAACAACTATTGGCGCTTTTCCACTGCGTGGTACGACTCGGCTCGGTACGAATGACGTTTCCACTGCAGTTTAGTATGTTCTAACAGCAATGGGCCATCCACTTGAAAAACCCTAACAAAGGGGAGGAAAGCCATACTTAGCATGCAGGATTCAGGGGGATGGCCTGCTTGGAAGATACCCTGAAATCAGGGGAGGATAATGATTCACACACGCTTAACAAACAGACGGCTCCTGAAGGCAACAAAAGTTGGTGACGTGTTCTGCCTGCGCCCTCTTATACTTCGGGGTGCCCACCTGTGACGTCAGGGGCTACGTGGGCCAATAGGACTGGAGTTGTTTCAGACACTGGTCCTGCTGCAGTCCCCAAGTGTCTGCTAGAGGAAACAGCGTGAGTTCCCTAGAAGGGGAACTATATGCTGGATTATAGTTTTTCCATTACATGATATTTTGGGGCATCATTTTCATTATCAGATGTATTGGGAGTGAGAATGTGTTGGCATTTTTTTTAATGGATGTCAATGGAGGACAGGCTTCAATATGCCGATTTCAGTACGCCGACTTTTGAGAGAAAACAGCTGATCATATTTTGAATTGATAATAAATATAATAATAAATATATTTAAATCTTAGCTGTGGTTTTGATAATATTTTTTATTTCTGATATTGTTGTTTTGGCTAATACAAGTTCTGAATGGTCGGTAACTTAAAAATTTTGTCTGCAAATTGGCTGGTGAAATGCCGACAAATTAATACTATAGAAAATAGATGATTAAAACAGAAGAAAGACTTAACTATTTTATGTTTTTTGTTTATTGATGTTTGGTTTCCATTTCCAGGAGATATTGGTGGACAGATGGGGCTCTTCATTGGGGCCAGTATTCTTACTATACTGGAAATACTTGATTATATCTATGAGGTATCTTCACTTCATTGTAAAAGGACAGTTCTATGACATTCAAATAAACATACTATCATAATACACACACCTCTTGTCCTTTCAGTCCGCGTTTAATCGTTATCTCTGTAGGTGGTCAAATTCAAAATCAAGCAACTCCTGAAACCAAAAAAGAGTCAGAAACAACAAAACCAAAGGAACTTGATTCAAGAGCAGATCCAGAGAACAGAGAACCTGCGAGAACAGAACCTGAGAGCTCAGCTGGCAGATGGAACTATAGCTACAGTCAGATTTGAAGAGGTCAAAGTCAAGGTGAGTCAGAGAAACAGAGAGATTTTTTGATGGCTTATACACATTGCACCTATAACTGATGACCCGCATCATGCGATTCGTTTCTCAACAGGCAGCTAATGAAGTGGCTCAACCGCACAGTGCACATCCAACTTCAATATTACCAAATCATCATGATGCACAAGCAGTTGTACAGCAGGACTTTACTTGTTAAGGGATGCCTCTTCTTCTTTGTATTTATTTTTCATATCACTGAACTTGAAATTGGGATCATGAATGGACCCTGCACACTGAAATACAAATTTAATTTTTTTTTCCACTTATAAAAGCTACAGCCAAAGCCTAATCCAGGACCTCATGTGAAACCGGCTCAAACCAGTCACATCGTCACTGTTCTCATTGTTCAAGTCAATACAAGATGAAGAAACCACACAATGTGTTTCACATGTGCTTTTGTTGATTTTTTTCCCATCTGGATGGACCTATCACGGACTTCAAAGAAGAAAGGACCAGAAAGGATCAGATTCGATCAGAATGTTGCATTTCACATAAATTACCTATGTGACAGGACAAATATGAACTAAATGAAAGTTATAAGGAAAACAGAGAGATGAAGCAAACACACAGGTGTTGCTAAGTGCAGAAAGAGTTGGTTTCTCTGTGATTCTTTATTTGGTAATGTACAGTGCTTGCATCATTTCACCATTTCACATTTCTTAATAACATAATGAGACTTCTCAGTAGGAGAACAGCTAAAATATACCACTCGTTTCTCTGTGAGTAGGTGTTATGTTCTTTTTCAGTCTTATGTAACTTCTCCATTGTGCTGTAGTCCTTATAATGAAACAGTCTGACTCTAGGTTTGAAACATGGAAAACATCACACTAGAGCACACTCTGTTTGCTGAAATCATCTCAAGTAAAATAAATAAATAAATACAATTAAAAACACAATTAACTTCTTTATATGAATATAAAAAGGTAGGTGATATTTATTTTGTATTCAAATACAAGCACATTCAAATACAAATAGATACATTTAAAATTGTAGTAACATTTTGCTAAATATCCATCATTTCCATCTGGTCATAAATAAATCAGTCTGAAAAGTACTAGAACACAGTAATACTGTCTACAGCTGAAACAAAACTGTCAGAGTATAACCTTAAAACCACCATGAGTTCTTCTTCTTCTTCTTTTAAATTCCATGTCTTGAATAATGTATTGGAGACTAGTCTTATGCCAGAGCCTTCTGATTGAATATGCAGAACTTTCACAATTAACCTTGTACATGAGGACAATATTTCAAGGAGAAAAAAAAATCAGCTTTTACTGCCATCTAGTGGGCCTAACACTAAAACACAAACACCTATCATATTTCATCAACACAACTTTGTATGAAATTTGCAACACCAAGTCAAAGTCTGGTGGCTCCATAACCATGGACATTCAAGGGTAAGAATTTGCAATTCTGCAAATTACTGTGGAAGTATTTGGTGAATAAAAGTTGTTTTTTAACAATATCACATGGGTGGGTCAAAAAGACTGTAATGCAAGTTGTGAAAAAATTGGTTGTGATTACATATTATTATTAATAATAATAATGATGATGATGAAAATGTGCCGTCACCTACAGTGACACACTTTCAACAAATAGAATTAGAGCTTCTTAAGCTCTTCATCTGTAACCTTTTCTGTTAGCAGCAGCACGGTGCACACAGTAAATATCTGCAGTGTGATGCACTTTAACTCTATAACCTCATTACAACATGTTAGTTCCAGAGCCCAACACCTGGTTCTCTGCTAACAAGCATCTTTTCTGTAAAGAATTATAGAAGGGAAAAAAAACAAACACCTAAACATCATTTTGACATTATAAATATTCTTAAATATTTGGTTTATGTGCAAAACAAAACAAAATAAAAATTATTTTGTGTTAATTTGTTTGTTGGTTGCATAGCTGAGAAGCATTTCACTGTGAAGGAGCAGATTTAAAGGCACAGATTTTTACATGGACAATATAGTTAGGTTGTCCCAGACAGCCACAGCTCACGGGAAAAGGAAGTGTGGGTGGAATACTGTAATGCATTTCTAACATGGGTGGATTCAGAAAACTGGAATAATACAAAATAAATTGTGGAAATAGCTTTATACATTCATCCTTTCTGAACTGTCCAGTATTGTTGTAAACATACTTTATCTTCTCTTCCCTCAGCTGCAGCCACAATAAAAATGCAAAGCAAATTCTTTCACTACAATTATTGAAAAAAAAACATTCCCATCTCCATCACTAGCCCCAAGTTTACTTTTGTTTTTTTGCAACATTACAAACTTTCATTTGAAGCAAAAAGTATTTGAAAATCAGACAAAAAGACAAAGCTACAACACATATATAGTGGCTTTATTGAGGGACTGAACTACAATCCCATGAAGCATTATGAATGACATGAATTAAAAATATATAGCAATACTCATTAAAAGTTGTTTTTAATTCAATAGAAGCTATATATTTACGTTTATTGTAAAATATGCATATATATATATATATATATATTAGGGGTGTAACGGTACACAAATATGACAGTTCGGTACGTACCTCGGTTTTAACGTCACGGTTCGGTATGATTTCGGTACAGCAGGGGGATAGTTTAAATTTTCTTAGTGATAAAAATCTACCTCAGCTTCTGCTTAAAACTATAGGGAGCCCTTTTACAATTAGGCCTAACAACTTAACCCAAACTTAAATTTAATTGCTATTTATTTTTAAATAGATGATCAACACTCAACTTAAAAAAAAAAAAAATTGTATGCAAACATGTAAATTGCACATAATGCAGTTTTTAAATTAATTTATAAATAATACAATTTCTAAGCTATTTGTTAAAATATATTCAATTACACAATGGCTGTCGTAGCATGTTTCATAACAGATTAATTTAAACATACTGTACATTAAGTAATTAAGACTAACAGGTTTAGTAAAATATGATGAGTATATGGTGTAATATTTCGCAAAATGCTCCTCTCTAGACTTCATTTCTCTAGTGAACTAACGAGCTGTGGACACTGATGACTTGCTGAGGTAAATTAAATGCTACGTGACATTTTATTTCCACGCTGTATTGTTGATGTCTTTCCGCGGTTGAAACACTGATTGAGCAATTACATGAGGCATGAGATGTTCAGTCATGTTTATTCGTGTTAAAACTAGTAGTACAGAGGAAGGAATGATCGCGTTCACTCGCGCTCCGCTCTGCACAAATCTGCGGGGCGTCACGGCTCAGACACGGGAACCGGAGCTGATCGCGGCCGCTCTAGTCAGTGCTTGTGTTGGGATTATACCAGCACGTTTCTGAACCGTCCCAGAAGCGGCTCTCTAAGGCGTTTATACAGCGATCTGTCATGCCACATAAAAGACGGTCAAAACGCCATTTATTATTTGAATTTCCTGAGAAGAAGAAGAAAAAAAACTGTATTCGTGCGGTACACATGCGTACCGAACCGAAAGACCCTTACCGAAACGGTTCGGTACGAATACGTGTACCGTTACACCCCTAATATATATATATATATATACATACACACACACACACACAAATATTGAAGTATCATAAGAGCATAGAGAGACCGACTCAATTACTGTACGTCACATTTTCTGATTGGTGGACTTTTCTGTACAGCATCATGGGTAATGTAGTTTTTCACTGCAAATTCAGCTGTTAAACATGGTTATTTTAAAAATAAGTTAAAATTTGAACACATTTTTAAAGGTTTAATAGTTATTGTTAAAAATGAATTTCCCCATGGATAATTATTATTTTTTACTTACAGAAATTCTGCTGTTGCACTACTGCACTACAGTGCAAACTGTATGTACGCTGGCAGATATTTCTAACCACCTTAACTCTGCACGCTTACCTTGCACATGCGTCTTGAATTACCACAAGGTGGCAACACTGGCCCCGGCCATTTGTTTCACAGTCGGAAAAAAAGGAGACAGAACAACAACAACAACAACAACAAACTAACGTTACTGGAGAAGTCAACAACTAGGGCTGAACGATTTTGGAAAATAATCTAATTGCGATTTTTTTTTTTTACCAATATTGCGATTGCGATTTAATATGCAATTATTTTGTAAAGCTCTTTATGTTCTGTATTATTCAACAAAGAAAGCTATAAATGATTGTATAGTATGACCAACACAGTATTAGATAGATTAAACATAAATGTTCTTTTCTGTAGGCCAGGCCTATATGTTACGATGAAATTAGGTGATGCATGAATTGATATGAATGACATTTTTATTTAACAACTACAATCACAGTATATTGACTGATTTGTTGAACTTCCAACCTTGTAAGCATGTAATAATTATGACAACATAAAGCACTGACAAATAAGCCTGATGTAAACATGAATATGTAAACACATGTAAACATGTGGACTGCACTTTTTAAACACTATCTGTTAACTTTAGACCAGTGGTTCTCAAACTTTTTTGGTCGCGCCCCCCTTTAAACCTATAAAAAAATCCCACCTCAGACTACCAAATAATTTCATTGGTAATTTTCAACAATGCTTTTTTAATTTAAAAAACCTACAGCGAAAAAAAACACCTGCATCACTTGAAACATTGAAAAATAGCACAGAGAGAATAACTGTTATTATTATTATTCTCTCTCTGTTATTTATTTATTTATTTTTTGTGGGTTTCATGCTGTCCGCTAAGGCATAGGACATACACAGGCTTTCCTCCTCACCAACGACATTAAACACCGTGTCAACACCAGAAGCGAGCAGCAAAATACAGTAGAACCACTGATCTATAATAGAGAGAGATAATAACAGTCATTATAGATCAGTGAGTAGAACTCATTATAATCAGTGACAATTATAATGAGTCGACGATTATAATGATTATAACGATTATAATGTGTGAACCACACACTTTGAGAACCACTGCTTTAGACAGACTTTAAATAAATAAATAAGAATATATATATATTACCTTATTATATATATTATTTTAAGGTCGAAGTCTTCAGTAATGAAATGCACCGTAACACTGTTATTGCTTGAGTAATTTCAATGTGCCGTTTTGAAGTACGTTCATTATATATGCTTTCAAACATTTCCGCATGTAGCGTGCCAGGGTTGCCAGGTTTTCAGTCATTATAGATCAGTGAGTAGAACTCATTATAATCAGTGACAATTATAATGAGTCGACGATTATAATGATTATAACGATTATAATGTGTGAACCACACACTTTGAGAACCACTGCTTTAGACAGACTTTAAATAAATAAATAAGAATATATATATATATATATATATATATATTACACGGCTCTGTGTAATACTTGATTCTGA